ATGTATTTTTCTTGTGCAACTGGTCTTGTGAAAGTTTCTGGTAGAAAATCTTGAAGAATAAATTCACAATGCATGTAAAGATAATTACTTGCGATCACAGCTGCCATGTACGTGTATGGACATTACCACTATTGCTGTATTTAGGACAAAGACTCTGTTCTCTTTTTAAAGAATGTGTTCATCCATTTTTGAGTTAAGATTCCCAGGGAATGCAATAATTGATAAAATGTGTACCTTAAATGCAATCTAAAAGCCTGTTCAAAGGACTATGACTATAAAGTTTTAACAGTCATTCTAATTTTGTGAGAACTGTGAAGTCCAAACTACAGCTGTAATGATAACGGCACATAGGAATGATATCAATGGAATCACTTTCAGAACAATTTTTTTTCCAACTCATGAACAGCAAAAACATTGATAGCCAATCTGAATTTATCTGCCTTTAAAGAGCTTGAGCATTTAAAGTGGCAGATTACATAACAATTAACATCTCGCTAGCATTGGGTAAGGTGACTTCTTGGACTTCTTACTGTGATCCAGAGTTGGGGTACTCAAAGTCCAATTGACCCTTCACCAGGAAATTGATTAACAGGCAATCTGACCAAACATAATGCAGAAACTGCCATTTTGTCTGACAAACAAACCAGACAGGAGAGTAGATTAATGTCAGTGTACTTGAGCTTGAGAGTGTGTTGACATCTTTCCACGGTTAAACAAGATAACTTATGATGTTCATTCATGTTTATTTTGTGCCATAATTAATAAAGAGGAAGAGATGATCAGATCGCTTGCCGCTTGAACTGAGGCGCTACAGCAGGGGTGTCAAACTCAATTCCTGGAGGGCCAGAGCCCTGCAGAGTTTAGATTCAACCCTAATTAAACACACCTAATCCAACTAATCAAGTCCTTCAGGCTTATTTGAAAACAACATGCTATGTGTGTTGGAGCAGGGTTGGAACAAAACTCTGCAGGGCTCCGGCCCTCCAGGAATTGAGTTTGACACCCCTGCACTACAGCGATCTGTCCCAAAACCTTAAAGAGCCACAAAACTGTATTTATTGTTTGAATTTCTTAAAAAATGACCACATTTGAAAGCTGAGACTTTGTTTCATACCAAAAGTAACCTGCTCTGTCTTGTCTGTTGGTGCATTGTCAGTGTCCTCTTTGCTCCGCTATATATTTTTCACTACGTGAGAACATGATGTGTGGCATAAGAGTGCTATGAATTGTCAGACTCAGCAACAGTAACTAAGGGGGGGCGGGTCTTTGTGAAGGGTCAATTATGAATTAACTTAGACTTGTCACACTCTCTGTTAACTTTGTACTCAAACTTGACATAGACTCATAAATTTAAGATAACAAGACATTAAGAAATGTCTCCCACTTGAACTTGATTGGTTAAGGACTTGGACTTGACTCAAAATGGACTAAGACCCAACACTACTGTGATCTTGAATTTACATCACTGCACCTTCTGCGGTTGAACTTTGACACTATCAGTTCATTACTGATCTTGTGCACTGATCTGAAAAGTGAAAACCCTCAAATTAGCTCTAACTCTTGCAGATCCCACATTTTTGGACAACCTTTGCCCAATTCGCTCCTCAGATGTCTCTTAGGTTTCCTTTATGTGTGTCCTTTCAGAAATTACCACTTCTCCTTGTGAACGCTCCAAACAGCTTGTCCTCCAAATGGAAATCAAAAATAGAAATGGGGGAAAAACAATCTTTTTCAGGGTTTTGGTTCACAAACAGAGCAGAAAAATAGTCACAAACAAAATCTCACACTTTCAAGAGCCCTCCAAAAATATCTACTGTAAAATAATGGAATATTTCCAATTTATGTGTTGCTTGTTTTTGTCCATATTTTTTTGAAAAGTTATTTTTGAATGGCCATCAATAGAAAAAAAGAAGGATTCTTTTTGGCATCTATTTACTGGCATTAAGACATCAACCAGCAGAGAGTTGTTTGAAGATAACCAGCCAAACCTTGACTCCTTGGCTCAAACAAACAGCAGTGTTTGCACAGAACAGTAGCATTCAGACTTTTTGGAAAATGTGTGAACTGAACTCTGTAGCTTACTTTGTCCTAGCTCAGTTTAATTAAGTATTTTAAGATTGTACACCTTTAAGTAGAGGTGCAAACTTTATTTATATTACTTGGCATTTCCCAGTGGCGTGCACGGACATGCATACACTCAAATGCGCGAATACAAAACAGCGTAAGCAAAATGGGAAATATTTCTCTTGCAGTGCAAAATAAATACACTAGGGAAAGAAAATAAAACTGCTTCAAGCTCCAGTGCGGGGGAAATCCACACACCTGACTCAAGATACACACTGTAGCATCAGAAAAGCACTTGCCATCTGTTTACAGTAGTCCCCCCCCCCCCCC